AAAGCCACCAGCTGCTCAATATCCTTCACTTCCACTAGAACTTCATCACGGAGAAACTGCATTTGCTCATAGGAATAAAATGGGCATACAGTGCGACTCACACGTCTCTTCTTCCCTTCCATCTCTTCATCACTCTTCTTTTCTAACAGCAGAAATCAAAAGAAAGCTATGAGCAACACATAGCCTAAAACAACCACTTTGCAGAACCTCCTGAATTTCAAAGCAGGCTTTGTTATGCGTATTTTTAACCTGTCATCTATTTAAAAATTATTCAGCAGTAACATTTCCATCTCCAGAGTGGACATTACTCTTGCCAGTTAGATTTAGCCATGTAACATCTTCCAACATTTCTAATACTGAGTTACAGAGACAAGTATCCTTCTGTTGCAGAAGTCCTGACCAACTTAAGGCACTCAGAAAATCCATACAGATCTCAGCATCCTGGCCTGGAGGACAAGAAGAGCAAAAGCACCAAGGATCTCTAGCTCTGCTCCTCCAACCTGCCATTTTCAGCTCCTACCATTCTCTTGCTAGAACTGATTGGCAGAGCACACTGTCTCCAGACTCTCATACCAGCTTCATCAACCATTGCTTCCCCAGGCTGGAAGTGTTCCTACCCTGTTTGTTCTTTTGCATCTCCATGCAGCGGTCATTGATGAGCTGGAGAGCCCCCAAGCGTCGCACCTCCTCATTCACACACAGGTTCTTGGACATGCAAAGAGAGGAAGCAGTAGTGGGTCATTAAGCACTGAGTGTCCCTTCCTGTGCACCCTTTGCTGTAAAATAAAAGACTTCTTTAAAGCAATCTCAGGCCAGATTCCGAAATGGAAAAGTTTATCGGTCAGACATTGTGCACGGTAACTGCTACAAATACGCTCGAAACCCATAAAAACTTAGTGAGGAGAAAAAAAATGAGAAAAGGTCCACTGAGATGGCTCACTGCTACGTAACAGCTTCTAAAATATGCTGCCAGAAGTAATACTAAGAGGATTGCCTTCCCAGCGACTCAGACAGCTGTAATATTCCACATCAGAAGAGGTAAAACAGATTTTTGCATTTACACCAAAGGGTAAACGGCCAAAACACAGCTCACAGAAAAATGTGCATCACACAGATCTGTGTTACGACCCATGACTGCTTTAGTTTTTGAATGGGAGATTCAGTCAATCCCTGAGATGCCTTCTGAGGCGTCACATCCACGCACCTCCTCACAAAATCACTCCTATTAAGTTAACAAGCACTCTGGGTCCCTTGTGAACAATGCAACATACCTGCCTGGATCCCAGCGAGACCAGACGCGTGTCTTTGCCAAATGGACTTTTTTGCACCTCATGCACAAACTGAGACAGCTGGGAGTGAGTGCGGCTGCAGTAGTAAATCTACAATGAGGAAGAACAAAGGGAAGACAAGAAGAACACAGAAGCCAATCCCCTACCTACAACCAATCCTGCAAGGAAGCAGCCAAGCACCTCAGCAAGGTTAATCTTGCTCAAGCTTTCAAAAACACAAGGGAAGGCCTGTGTTTGAGTGTCACCTGACAACTGTTGAGGCCAACAGCCTTATCTTTGCTTTCTCCTATGTATTTGCCTTTGTTTGCATTTAATTTTCCAAGGTCCCTGTAATAGCAGGGACTCACCATTGGAGAGTAATGAAAAATTGTTTCTTGCGGTGTGCTTTTACAGCAAGCAACAGCAAAAATTCAGCAGTGTTAGCAGAGCAGACTACTTAGGGAGACTGCAGTCCAGAAGGAGATGAGCACAGCAGAACTGGTTGCTATTACCAACAAACTTGGCAGTTCTTGGATGCTAGTTCCTAAATCCTTCTGTACCGCTGACTCTGGGGAGGGTGCAAGGAAGCCATAATTCTGCTCACTCCTACACTGTTCTATGAGGTGGCACTATTTACTTTCCTCGTCTCACCTTAGTCACATGCTCTTCTTCCAAATCCTCATCATCTTCTTCCAGCCTAAGAAAAGAGAAAGCTCAGACAGTTTCCTTTCAGCAGATCACCGACAGTTAGAATCAAACGATGCTCTACTACAAGAGAGAGGTCTCAAGAGAGATGGGTATGTCATCTCAAGAAGGGACTCGGATCTTAACAAGTTAAAAGAAAAACCAACTTTTTAGGAATATTGTAAGTGTACACAAACAAGTCAAGCCTTGCTCTTTAAAAGAAAAATGTCTGTAAGGCTGTGTCTTTAGCAACTTCAGGAATTTTTTTTTTCCTTTTAAATCTGGGGCTTCTAAGCCCTGGGCATAAGCTAATCAGTGCTATAGTATTCTTTAGTGAGCTGCTTTATTTATTTTTGTAAAACATTCCCTTTAGAGACAATTTACCACCCTCAAGCTATTGCATAAAGAAAAGCATCAGGAAGATACTCAGCTGCCATAGAGTTCCTCAAAGGCAACAGCAGTTTAATGTTTGATAAACTACATATAAACGAAGTAGTTAAGTATTTTGCAGTTTTCAAGGCAGGAGGATCTGTCTAGATACTAATTAGTAAATTTGTATTTTAAATGTATTTGACTTTTCATGCTGAATTACGGCTTCTGGCTTTCTGCATAACACAAATGTATGAGAGAGAAAAGTGTGCATGGGGTTTTCACACTGAAGATCAATCTTTAGAAAAGTGAACGTCTCTTCCTTTAGAGTAACAAAAGATGCCAGTGGTAATCTGCAGGACTGATAGCTTCCTCTGATGCCCCGAGTTCCATTTTGCTTTTCAAATGCAAGGAACTTGATCTCAAGTTATTCACTCATCATCCAGAGGCATTCTTTGGGAAAGCTGGCATGGATAAAGGCAGGAAGATGCCACACATTTTAAGAAAGACACACTTTCTCAGAAAACACTTCAGGTCACTCTGATCAGTCTAACAAAAGCTTAAAAAAACAAAGCAAAATAAAAAAAAATCCCCCCCAAAGCACCAAACCAACCAAGTAACCAAACAAACCCCCAGAACAACCACTACCTTACACAGCGTGAATGGGGGAGAAACTCCAGATCTGCACAATCACAGGTGAAATCTCTTATCAAGGCAAGCTAAAAATGATACAGAAAATGTTTCCATGGCACAGAACCCCCTCAGTCTGTGTCCTTACCCAGATACCACTTTCTTTTCTTCGTCACTCTCATATTCTGCGAGAATCAGCTCCTCCTCATTGTGATCCAGCTTCTCTAGAGCATCCACTCCAGCTCCCTCTGAAAGAACCTCCTTGCTGAGCTGAAGAAGGCGCTTTGTCTCATCCTCCTCAGATCGCTGAAAGGAACACATGAACACATACAGAAAGAGAGATAGCACACACATCACTTTATGCCATGGACAGGTCAGAAGACAGCACAGCCCCTCACCCGTAACACAGGGAATGGCTTGCTGGGTTAAGCCCCAGCAGGACAAACAAATCCAACAAGGGTGTCTGAAGCTGTTCAGCCCCACAGGATGCAGCTGTTACCGACAGCCAAAGACTCGCCCACACACACAGATGTGAAGGTGGAACTGCAAAGAACCTCCTACGCAAGAGGTCCACTGAACTAATAGATCCTGAAATGACAATATCCAGGTAATGCAGTATTAGTTGCTTGAAGTGACAGGACAAGGGGTAATGGTTTTAAACTAAACCAGGGTAGGTTTAGACTAGATATAAGGAAGAAATTCTTTACAATGAGGGTGGTAAAACACTGGAACAGGTTGCCCAGAGAGGTAGTGGAGGCCCCATCCCTGGAAGCATTCAAGGCCAGGTTGGACGGGGCTCTGAGCAACCTGATCTAGTTAGCGGTGTCCCTGCTCCTGCAGGGGGGTTGGACTAGATGACCTCTAGGGGTCCCTTCCAACCCAAAACATTCTATGATTCCATGATTCTATGATTCTATGAAGTGGCCCATGAAAGACGTCTGCGTGAGAAAAAATAGCATGTAAATAAACCCAACCAACCAAACATAAAAGGACATAATCAAACACTCTCTGTCCATGCTTAAAGCAAGGATAAACCCAGCACCTATTTTAGAATGCAGAGCACAAGACTTTGCTTGCTGTTTTTTCTCCAGCTAATGTAGTTCTTATTCTAACACAGGTCTACCCCTCTACAGAAATTCCATTAAGCTGTTGAAGCATAATTTCCTGATTGACTTTGTGTTCTAATAAAGAAGAGTTAGTTTTTTCAATCTGAAAACAGTCTCTTCCAACTTCAATTAGCATTCTTTTACCACAGCATTACGAAGAAATGCAGTTAGTGAGCACTACAGATGAGATGAATCAATTTTGAACTGCTTTTCCAAATCTCTACAATATTTCTCTCAGGTGCTTTCTTGCCTTTTATCATGCTTCTCATTTCACATGCTCCTCATCCTCTTTTAAAAGATGAAAATTTCTTTGTTCCACTTGTTTTTCATTTGCCATTCACCTCTGAACCTTTGCTATTTCTGCCATATTCTTTTGACAGGAGTTGACCAAAACATAATCCAGCACTTGAGATGAAGCACACTGGAAACTAATGGCCTGGCAGCCTAAGAAGGTCTGCCTGTTTGGGGACCTAAAGTGGGTATTTCTGGGAAGTTTGACTCACACCACCAAAAAGGTCTTAGAGTCAAGAGTACTGAAGCCAGTTCACCCATCTAAATGGCAGGAAAAATGTATCTGTGAACTTCTTGTATATAGAAAAGAGACGTTTCTGAACAACACAATCATGTTTGCAATGAGAGTAAACAAATACAATCATTCCCTAGTGGCAGGCAAAGTACAACCAAGGCTGACCTGGCTTTTTTGGAGGGGTCTTCTGTTCCCATGACCTTAAATTTAATCGGAGTTCTATAAGTTTTATTCCAGAAGTACAGAGTGTTCACACATGCTCATAAAACAGAAAGCTTTCAAAAAAGGAAAAAAAAAAAAACCACTAATGAAAGCTTTTAAAACAAAAGCAGAGGGCCAGAAGGCCGTCAGAACACACACCCTTCCTATCCACACGCAAGTATCATCACAGGAAATTCTCTACGTACAAGTTGTTTTTCACATCTGTACTTTAAAAAGAAAATCTAACAAAAAATTGTGGATGGCCAATTTCAGCAACCTAATACAAAGAGCTCCCCAAACAGATGGGTTGGGAAATTGAGTGAAGTCGCAGATGTCAGCAAGTATGAACAACACGTGAGGTAACCAAATCAGAAAGTTCTCATCTCTGCGGGATAACTCACCTTTCTCTTTGCTGCGTATTTTAACTGCACGTTATGCCGAATTTTCTCAAGGCGATCTTCTCGCTTTTTCCTCCTGATGTGCTCTTCCTAAAATAAAGGGAGAGGGAAGGAAGGATGAAGCGTATTTAGTCCTAAACGCTGGGTGTAATTACTTTCCTATTCCCCGGGTATAAAAAAAAATTAACTCCAAACCAAAACTGTCAGCACACAGTCCCTTTCTCCTGGAGCACTTGCCTATTGTATGTTACTACGTTCAGAGTAATATGGTTTCCTATCTTATGCAACCGACGCCTCGCCCCTCGTAGCTGAAACAAAGTCCTGCAAAAGACAAGGACCACCACCCAACTTTGCCTCACTTGTTTTTCCAGCCATCACCCGGGCTATCAGCCTTCCCGACCCTCACACCTCGTTATGTTACCCGTCCTCTACACAGAGGCGTTTCTCAACCTTTAGCCTGTCCACCATGTCCCGTTCTTCTTTCTTCTGCACAAAGGCCGCAACCCAGTCCGGTTCCCCGGCGGGGCCTCGGCTGTCCGGGCGTCCTGGCTCGGCTGCGGCCCGCTGCTCGCTCCCC